GTCTTTGCCTTGAAAATCAAATTTGGATCATATGATTTACTATGTCCCGTAACGTCATTTTCAAGGCAAAGACCCCAATTGTTTAACATTGAAGTTCTTTTAACATTACCAATGGGGAAAAGAATAATAATTCTTATTCGATAGGGTTGCTTTATTTGTTGCAATGGAATATTCGATTTGAATCATATGGTTTTTGTATGACATATTTGCGTTCTTGATTTTTCTTTTTAAGTGTGACGAATATTTAAAGCACAATATCTAATTTGGGAAAGCCTTGAAAGATATTAAAATAGACTTGATATCATAGAACATTTAACACATTAGCAATGGACGACCACAATTAAGAGGGGTGTATCGTGCGAACAATGCCTATTTTGAAGAAAAATCGGCAATTTTTGAAGATTCACATAAAAACTACTCTTCATTCTCTAATAAAAAATATTCCTTGAGCAATTTTATTTCTATTCCCCAAAATCTTAATTCTAACGCTAATTCGAACTTAAGCGTCATATTTTGTTCACGTGATCGGAAAAATTCAACACATGTAACGCAATTAATTCCGATAGTAAAAATTATAAATACCAACACTTTTATCAATTTTGAAATTTCATTCTTCACAAAATAACACCACTAAAAGATTATACTACTTTATTACTCAATATTCCTAACATGTCTGCATCAACTTTATTAGAAATTGGTAATAACTTAATACAATCACCATCGGTCACAACAGAAATCAATAATCCAACTAAGAACCGTGGAAACTATGTAAAATCGGCCTGTCGACCATGTGCAAAGTTAAAAATTAAATGTACTGGTGAAAAGCCTTGTGATAGATGTACTAAACAAAAGATAGTTTGCATATACGAGGAACCTAAAAAACGTGGTCCTAAGGAGGGACAACCAGTTCGTCGTTCACGATCTACTAGTTGTGATAATCGACATAGACGACAAGATGATTCACGGTCATCGCCTATTCGTCGTTCACGTTCCTCCAGTTGTAATCGAAGACATGAAGACACTAGTGCGGTCGACAACTTGACATTCATGCCCCAAACGTTTTACCAGAATCAACAACATCTCGATGCATCTCCAGAAAATAATTTACAAACTAGTTATTTTGAACCTTTTAAGGAAACTAGAGTAACTACAGGTTTCGAACAAGATAATAATAATGCACTTGATATTCATTTTCCAAACGCATTATATTCCCCAAATAATAATCAACATCTCAGTGCATCTCCAGAAAATAATTTACAACCTAATTATTTTGAACCTTTTGAGGAAACGATAGTAACTACAGATTTCGAACAAGATAACAATAATATATTTGACATTCATTTTCAAAACGCATTATATTCTCCAAATAATAGACAACGTCTCGGTGCATCTCCAGAAAATAATTTATCAACTAATCATTTTGAAACTTTTAAGGAAACTGGATTAACTACAGATTTCGAACAAGATAACAATAATGCACTTGACATTCATGTTCCAAACGCATTACATTCTCCAAATAATAATCAACATCTCGGTGCACCTCCAGAAAATAATATACAAACTAATTATTTTGAACCTAGAGTAACTACAGAATTCCAACAAGGAAGCCAACAATCCGATAACGACGGATTCAATTACTTGGATACCGATACAGTGACCAATCAATTAATACCATCAAACCCTCCGATCATGATAACAATTGTTCTTACATTTTCAGGGCAAAGACCCTATAACGATAATCCTCAACCTATACAAATTCAGCAAGATAGTCATTGCCAATATGAATATCATGAAACGCAAAATGACATTATGGTTAATCAAGCAAATTCATAAAATCAAAACCCAAACTAGTTATTTACTTGAAGAACGGGCACTACGTACGTGATAAAACATGCCAAATAAAGTTTGCCAAGTACGTACGTACGTACATACGCACCTCCTGTTAACCAAGAGATGTTTTACGATATTAAAGTGATTTGATGAACAATTAACGGAACATTGTCGTTTCCTATTCACAAACATTTACTTTGCTATGGAATTCTTAAATAACTTTCATATTACCTTATTAATAAGTGTTGTCTAATTATTTTTTTTTATTTTTATTGTCATTATTACTATTTTTATTGTCATTATTATTATTTTGGTGACCGTTGGAAGAAACCCTTGTTATATTAGTTTATATTAGCCAAATTTAGATTAGTCAGATTGATTGGTGGGAAAGAAATAGCGATATATATGGGCACGCCCACAGAAAAGCAGGGGATGGGCTATATATTATACGGGTTCATTCACAACCATATATGAAATATATTTTCTAAGCATGTTTTGCTGTGAATGAGCCCATATAGTCCCATCCCCTGCTTTTGCTGTGAGCGTCCCCATATACAGTACTCTAAATAAATCGCATATTTTTATGGAATCTTCATAGACACAAAAATTCGGATTTGTGGGGAAGGGTTGCTAAGAAATGTTATACTTTAACTGTTAAGGAGTACTTTATTCGTATCAAGTTGAATATCATAACTTTATTACGCAAAAGAATTGTAAATTCTTTTTTTTTTTTTTTGAAAAAAATTTACACCATTAAATACCGCCTTTATTTCTATTACGCAAAAAGAATTGTACAGTAAATTCTTTTTTTGAAAAAAAAAACAAAAAACAAAAAAAAAAATATATATATATATACCATTAAATACCGCCTTTATATCTATAAAATTATCTGATTCTATTATATATCTCATTTATTGTCAGTTCCTGGTTCTGAAATATTTCTTGTTACTGCTTCTTGATCAGAGGACTCTTGTTCTGTACTGTCTTCGTCATCATCTTTAATAACCGGTAGAGTTGCAGGGTAAATGTAAAATACCAAAAGACCAATTATCGTGCAGGTTGCTGCTAATGGATACAGTACATGCATCTATTTGGTTTTTAAAAAAATTTAAAAAATAAATTTAAAAATAAATTTAAAAAATAAATTTAAAAATAAATTTAAAAAATAAATTTAAAACTTTTGTGAATGAACCAAATTGGATTTTTTTTAAACACATACCACAGATTTAAATAGGAACCAACTAAATATCAAACTGAAAAAATCACTTGTAAGGTAAGAGAGATTAAAAAACGTTGCCGAGGATAACCGTAAAAGCAATGGTGTTCCCATATATGTCACTAAGGTCATTATTATAGCAAGGATAAGAGTGCCGACTATTTTTTTAAATTCGATAAAAAATTAGAAATACAGTAGAAATAAATATCTTTACATTTGATGTTCAATATTGATAAATACTTATAGGTCCGTTCCACACAACACTTGTCAAGTCGCGACGTTCTAAAATTGCTCTTTCAAAAAAAAAAAAAAAAAAAAAAAACACGTAATTATAAGAATATAATTCTTTATGTAAAGATTCACTAGATTACTATCCTACATTTGAACCCCGGTAATAATCGACCCCCAAAATCCCATTTGTCCCAATACTTCATACGTTGGTCGTTTTCTCACGTAATACTCTTCGACAATATTAGATATTCCATAAAAAGTTGCACTTATTAAGCAGAGTATATCACCCTTTATCGGATCCAGAGCTTTAGTTAAATAGGATTAGAATATACAGTATATCCGACGAAAAAAATTTGATTATTGAAACTTTTTTCTGTTAAAAAAAAAAAAAAAAAAAAATTACCATAGTACATATCTTTTCCAGTTTGAAAGTCGGCCACGATCAACACACCAATTCCAGATAAGCAAATTAACACGCCCAAATATTGAGACCAATGATATTTTACGTGCAAGAAGAATATAGACAAAATCACGCATACTGGAATCGCCCAAGCGTCGAGCAAGATCGTTGATAGGACAGATGTATACACAAATGCTTTTATTCCAAAATAATTTGCCTCCACATCTACAATTGAAAGCAGAAAATCTAAAAAGCAAAAAGAAGATAGGAAGAATGTCACGTGATTCCACACAGGAATGGTCAGAATACACAAATAAGAGCTTACACTTCCACCCACGAATTCTAAGCATTCTCAAATACGCACGTATCCCATATTTATAAATGGTAATAGGCGTATAAATAGAAGTCAAAGTTAGATACAAAATAAAACTTTGAGTTGCAGGTAAGCTGACATTAAAATTAAGAGTTAAGGCGGTGGTAGAAATGATTTGACCCGTGATGCACAAAGAAAGAAATTGACCAAGTAAAAAGATGAAAATGAATTCTTTTGTAAATAGAAATGAAATTTTGGATTTCAACGATGACAGTGTTAGTGGTTGTAAGTTGGAATTTTGAGAAGTTTCGTGACACGATATTGGAATAGTCGTATGTGACGACTTTTCTTTATCGATCGAATTTTCTTTATCGATCGAATTTTCTTTATCGAACGACTTTTCTTTATCGAAAGACATTTCTTCTATCCTTGAGGAAAGATGAAGAGAATAATATATATTATAGGACAAATGGATCACGTGTTTTTTTAAAAAAAATAAAGATTCTTACATGTTTTTTAGATCCGAAGGAGAAAGATAAAAAGTATATAATTAGCAAATACGATGGCTTTTATTGATAGTAAATGACATGAATTATTTTTAAAAAATTTTCAAGCTAACTTAAATTCGTATAAAAAAAAGAATTCTGTTTCAGTTCTAATTTCAGACAGGTTTTAAGCATTAATTCTACCATAGATCAGTAAGTGATGGTACCCTTGATATGCATCAGAGCAGGGATAGTAAATGACCAAATAACCCAAATGACAAATGACTAGTCATTGGTCATTTCAACTTTAGAAGGTCATTTAACTTATGTAAATTGATAATCTAATGTCTTTTGGCCAAAAATTACAGGCAACCTAGACCCATATCACAAGATATACTCATTTAAAGACCGAAATTAAAACGGCCCAATGCCCCCTTTTGCTGTGGGGGTCCCCATATTAAAATGTTGGCGTATCCCTATGAAATAGTCCTTCCCTATTTTGCTAAAAGCAATTTGCATTATAAATGATTTTTCTGGAAATCAATTGATATTTATAATAAAATTTATAACAAAAAACTATTTTCTGGTTTATAGTAAAATCTCTAACCACTGCAATCTAAAATTAACTATATATAGTCTACCCCAGTATTTCACATTTCACTGCAAGGAGGACTATCGCTATGGTCCGTGTTGAACGGTAATACTTATTTTTAGAATAATTAAATAGGTATAATTATTTTATTAAAATACAAGTACATAAATAATTTAGAACTTTTTCATGTTAATGATAACGTAGAGAAGAGTAAGCTACATTGTATATTTTATCAGTCCAAAATAGGAAAAAAAAAAAAAATCAACATCCTATCCTTTTAATCTGAGTAAAAGTGGATGATTTTTTATGTAATTGTTTCGGCCTTGAAAATATATATATTATACAAATAAATAAATACAAAGTAATTCAAGTCAAAATGATTTAATGTAAAAAATTGCTAAACGTAAGGACCATAAATGTACAAATCAAGGCTTGAACAAGTATATAAACTTGTTTGTCAGAAACTGCAATACTTTTTAAAGCATTATGCCCACCTGGAATATCCGGGCTTGTGAAATTATTAGTTGAAAACACAGTTTTAGTAAAGCTAAGACTCAAATTGAAACAGACAGGTTGACTGGTGGGATTTTGCAATACCAAACATTGAGAAACATTGTCGTCCAATGGTAAATTACCAACATCTTGGTCACAATCTTGAGTTGGTTGTTCATAACAAGATAATGAAGGTATGTAGTTGAATTGCATTGAAGTGTTTGCAGCAAAGAGTGATACGTTGCCAGCGGTCATTTGATAGGCTAGGAGCGCAGGAAGATATTTAGGCATGTTATATGGTGCTTTTCCGGGAACAGTTGTGCCGATGAAACCGGGCGTTACATTCATTGAAGTATTGGATACGCGTAGACTAAAACCTATACATTATTATAAAACATTTTCGTTTAGTTTGTAATGTTACTTTGGGTCCCAATTATTAACTCGTAAATTTAGTGGTCTAGTCTAAACTGATAGACCACAGTTAGTTTTAAGACCAGTTCAGAACTGAAAAAAATTAGTCTTCTCTTAGTCTTAA